CCGGGTGCCGACTGCCACAAAGGGGGCCCAGATCAGGCAGGGGATGGGCAGGGGGCACAGAGCCCAGCAGACTCTGCCCCCCAGGGTAACAAGAGGCCAGCGAGCCACAGGGGGGGTTTCGCTACCACTTTATTATGACAAAGGCTACAAGCCACGTTATTTGTAAAGTGCATCATTATTATCCACTGCCAACAAACCACAGACACAAGCCTGGCCTAGTGCAGATGTGGCCAAAGTGGCGAAGGGCGCTGAGCTGAGAGCAGAGTCGGGGGGAGCCGGGCAGGCGCAGGGGGGGGCTGCCATCTACAAGCACTGCTCCAGACAGAGCCAGACCCCTCCGAGCCTCAGGAGGGCAGCAGGGACAGCACAAGGACAGACGGACAGACAGAGAGCCTGTGGTGCAGCGCCTGGCTCCATCCGTGGACCATGGCAGCAGGGACGAGCTGCGCCATGGGCGCTCCAGGGTTCCCCAGGAGAGCCAGGCAAGGGCCCAGCACTGCTCGAGGTCTGTGGTGCCTGAAAATGCTGCTGCCCCAAAGGGACAGGAGGCTCTGCCCAACACCCCATCCTAACATCCCTGCAACAGAGCTGCAGAGCAGCAATGGCCATCTCAACCCTCTGTGGTCCCTGCACCCCCAGGATGCAGCTACTGGCTGAGAGGAGCAGCTTAAAGTGCTTTTCTCTTTGCATGCGGTGCTAAGGCCAAACCTCACCCTGCAGAGAACATTTCCCCTTTATCACCAGGGCCAGGGCCACGCTCCTCCAATGGGGATGGTCCTGGCAGAGGAGGGAGGACCCAGAGCTCGGGGCAGAGGCATCTGTGTGCCAGCTCCAGCATGAGCCAACAACCACCCCATATCCACCAGGACACGCCTAAGGGCTTCCTCAGGCTCGCAGGGCTCTGCTGGCTCCAGGCTCCTCTTGTGCTCGCAGCAGCATCCCCATCACACCATCTCTAACCAGCTCAGTGGTATTCCACTACCCAAAGTGACTTTTTGCATAGTGCTGCTCTCCCCATCCCCATGCATCGCACCACCCACGGTGAGGTGGTCCCTATCCCCCAGCCAGCTGGGGCAGAGGGGAAACAGCCTCAGCCACAGCATCCACGTCTCTATGGCTTCAACCCTGTCACTGTCCCCATCAACAGGACAAAATGAGCAGTGAGAGCAGGCACCCGAGACTGGAGCCTATCCCAGAGGATGGGGCTGGTCTCGGTGTGGGTGATACCGCGCTCGCTCTTGTGCTTCCAAGCAGTCAGTGGAAAATGGAAAGAGACTTTGGGGCTGTCCCTGCTCCTGCACCACAGCTTTTCTGCAAGCCCCAGCCTCGGTCCGTGGCTCCCTGCAGCCCGGGCGGGCAGAGCAGAGCTCCAGTGCCTGCCCCTGCCCAGCGCTGGCAAAGCTGCCCCCGGCAGCAGCCGCTCACGCTCCTGCCCCGAGTCTCTCTCTGGGTGGGAAGTAGCACTTGTGACACACTCAGCAACGGGAAGAGCAGCAGTCATGTCAGCGTGAAGCAAACATGGCATTGCTTACAAGGTGCAGCAGCAGGGTGTGCTGGGGACTGCCCCACGCGGAGCCTAGATGATATCCGTCTCCCTCTCTATGCCGACATACTTCAGGGCATCTGCCTGGCTGTACCTACGAGACAGGAAAGTCACGGCTGCTGCAGTGACCCCCTGTGCTCCCCACAAGGAAGCGGGGCCAACCCTGCACCCCCGTCCCCAGCGGCCTCTCCCCAGGTACCTGTAGTCGAAGAAGAGCTCCTCTCCCGCCTGGATCGCCCTCTTGGCAAAGATCCCGATCCGGTGGTCTCCGTTTACCATCACCACTGCAACAAGGAGACATCAGGGACACGGCGCTGCAGCTGCAGCCCATTGCTCCTGCAGCCCATTCCTGCCTGCCCACACCAGCAGGAACGGGACTGGCTGCAGAGAGGAG